TATTACGCTCCATCCATTATGCATAACATTAAACCCAATATCCGTAAATTAGTTTAGATTCAAAATTATTATAATCTGATAAGGTACGCCCGTCTTCTAATTGCCTGCCAGAATAAATAAGACGTTGTTGATCAGGAGGGATTCCCTCCTTGTCCTGGATCTTTTGTTTAACTTGGTCAATGGTGTCACTAAATTCTGCATCAATTTTTATTTCTTTTCCGGTTAGTGATTTCACGATTAACTGACCAGAAAATCGTTTAGATTGATGTAAATTAAGAGTGGACTCATGTCTAATCCTATAATTTTCTAATGTTCTCAAGGAAGTTAAGACGTTATTGCTGTGGTCCAGAATTACGGTTAAATGATCTATCGAAATGCCTTTATCTTTAACCATGCGAATAACTTGTTTGATGGTGAAATTTCTATTCACTTTCAGGTTTATGATTTTTCCGTCTATTAATTTTATATAGACCATGATTTCTTCATATTCTAGATGTAATGTAGACTCTTCTTCGATTTTGTAATTTGACAAGAAGTCACCGTCGGACAATTGATCATTTAAAAAAAGATATTGTTTGTCAGAAGGGATGCCTTCTTTATCCTGGATCAATCGCTTAACCTCTCTAATTGAATGATCTCTCCTTACTTCTAATTCTATAATTTTTTCGTTCATTATTTTCACATAGATTTTTATAACCATTGTCAAAATTTCTAGATAAAGTACAGACTCTTTTTTAATTTGGCAAAACGAAAGGCTACTATTGTCATTTAATTCTTGTTCATTAAAATAAATACGTTGTTGGACAAGAGGGATGTTTTTTTTATCTTGGATCATTAGCTTAACTTTATGAATTGTATAATCTGGCATTGAATTAAGCTCTATAGTCTCTCCAGTATTGGTTTTCACGTAGATAATAATTTCCGTAGATTCAAGATGAAGTATGGACCCTTTTTGAATTTTGTAATTTGAAAGGATATTATGATCATCCAATTCTTTGCCATTAAAAATAATTCGTTGATGGGAAGTGGGGATGTTTTTTTTATCTCGGATCACTGATTTAACTTCGTAGATAGTGTTACTAAGCTTTAAATCAAGCTTCATTGTTTCCTCAGTATTTGTTTTCACGTAGATAATAATCTCATTAGATCCAAGAAGCAATGTGGACCCTTTTGGGATGTTGTAATACGATAGGGTATTAG